TGCCTGGCGTACCCGGTCCAAAGTGCTGGGGCGCCCATTTTACCGGGTGGGAAATAGAGACCCGAGGGAGGGGGTCACGGGCGCCTAAGACCCCTCTCCAAGGTACCAGGAGGCGGTCTGCAGGTCCTGATGGCGTGTGTTCCTCCCGCAGGCTTGGTGACAGCGTGCCCTGTGGTCTCCAGGTGTGTGCAGCCACCTCTGTGTCCTGACAAGGGGAGCCTGGAGCTTCGGGCGCTCGGGAGCTCCGCAGTCTTTAGAGGAGGGGGCTCTGGGGTACTGATGGGCTGGCGAAAGGGTTGGGATTGGGCCAGCCATCTGTGGGGAATTTCAGGAGTAGGTGGTGGCCATTTGAAAAGAAGAGGCGGGGAGATGTCAGACAGTGTAAGACATGACAAAATAATAATAATTTATAAATTATCAAGGGTTCATGAGGGGGTGGGGAGGGGGGGGGGCGCCTGGCCCTCCCGGGGCTGTGGGGCGTCTCTGAGACCTGTGGCGCCCCCTTCCTTGCCTTCTCTCTTAGCCTCTCACCAGTCCGGGACACGGGGCCAGTCGTCCCCACCCTGCAGGTGACCACACAGAGGCAGCGGCAGGGCAGAACCTGACTGGGAAGGTACGGACTGAGCCGCCTTGGGGCACACAGCATTAATCCCAACCATTATGTAACTCGCCAGTGGGGAGGGGTTAGCAGGGCTACTTGTGGCCGGAATCGATCAGCCTTTGGAATTTTCCAGAGAGCAGATTTCGGTATCCCGCCAGCCCCGCCATCAAGGGAGAGAAAACGCCTTCTGGGTTGTCACATGCCCACCTGGTGTAGAGTGTGGAGTGGGGGCCCTGGGTGGGGCAGCCTCAAGGAGGTCCTAGTGTGGTCTGACCAAGGATCCCAGCACGCAGCTGGCTGTGGTGGAGTTCCTGCTAATGAGAACCAGGTGCCTCCTGCTGTACAGTAGGCAGCTCAAGGCTTGTGGAGCTGGGCCAACAAGTCCTGTCACCCTGGAGCCCATGGGCACAGTGGACTCCCACACCCGTGTGTCAGCCCAGATGTTCACAGAGCCTCAACTCTGTGAAGAGCTCATGCCAGCTGACGTTGCCCAAGACAGATCAGACCAGGCCTTGTAGAATGCCAACTGATAATGTGAGCAGGGTGATCCTTCATGGCTGGCACGTTGGGGTCAGGGGGGCCACCAGAAGAGGCAAGTGCTGGCCCACCTACCCAGCTGGTCCTGGGATCTCCAGGAACAGCTGAGACAGCCCACCATGCCGCCCAACTCTGCGTGGTCTTTGGTTTCTGGTGCACAACCCTCTGTCCTCCCCTGTTCCTTCCCAGGAGCATGTCCGCAGCGTGCCACCCTCCTCCCTCATTCCTGTTGGGAGCAGGTGCCATCAGACCCAGAGAGCCCTTGGAGGCACCGTCCTGGAGAGAACAGTGGCAGAGAGCACACAGTCGGGGCTGAGGCTGGAAGACCAAGTGGGGGCTGTCTGTGCCAGGGGAGGTGGTCGAGGAGAGAGATGTACCCGACAACATGGGGAACCCTGGACAACAGAATATCACTCATGGTGTGACTCCACCGATGGGAGAGGCCCAGGACAGAAATGGGGCCAGGGGTTCACAGGGGCTAGGGGAGGGGCCTGGGGAGATGTGGAAGTAGATCTGGGCAGGGCTGCACAGCATTGTAGGTGTTCCGAAACCACCGACATGGCTGCGTGTGTGCTCAGCGAATTTCACCTCAACTAAAACCAACGTAAAGCAGGCATCTCGTGGTGAATTTGGCACAGGGTTGGGGACCTCCCAGAGTTGTGGCCACCCAAGGCGAGTGATGTCCTCATGTGGGGCTGTGGCCTTGAATGACCTACACAGAGGAAGTGGGTGCAGGGCTTGAGTTTGCAAGCCAGGCAGGTGGTTCGCATGCTGCCCTTTCTCTCCTGCACCCTCATTCACTCCTGAGTGAATCCACAGTCCCAGCAAAACAGGAACAGAACCCCCGTGGGCACACTCAGATGTCCACCTGCCAGGAAGTGGGGCTTCAACGCAGCAGCAGCTGCTGCTGAAGCCGTCAGGTTGATTCATCCCTGTCAGAAGGGGAAACTGAGACACGGTTTGCCTGTGAGCACAGGATCACAGTTCTGGAGGAGGACAGCTCTCAATGACCCTCCAGTCTTGACCCATGCCCAGGGTTCCCAGGCCAGGTGAGGGCAGGTGGAACTCATGCTGAGCCATGTCCCCCCACACACCCACACCCAGTCCCTGGACATTCTGCTCCCTCCTGTCCCCAGTCTCTCCATGACCTGAGATAACTCCCAGACTCAGCAGATTCCCAGGAAGCGCCCAGCAGCTCAGCTTAAAATACCTGCCCCAGGTGGAAGGCGGCTGCTGAGACAGCTCTGGCCACTGGACTCCCAGAGGCCTGGAAGGCTCATGGGCCAGGCCTGGGCCTTCGGGAGGAGCTGGGTGGGGTGCAGGGTGCATCCAGGCTGGGGAGATGTGACTGGCCCACATCTGGGCTCCTACACCCAGGACACCCACGTGCCTGTCCCTGTGAGCCCTCTGCCTGAGCAGCGTGGGGGCGCCTACAGCTGCCTGCTCCCTGAGACCCTGCCGCTCTGCTTTTGGGAACTGGGGTGCCCAAAATGGGGTGCCGAGGCCCTCTGAGCTCCCACCTCCCTGCAGGACCAAGCCTCGTCCTTTCAAGGAGCTCCTTCCTCTGCCCAGGTCTCCTCTGACCTCTGTCACACCTTCTCACTCACTCCCAGGCTCCTCCTTGTCCTCCTCTGAGGCCCAAATGCCCTCTGGCCCTCCTCCTCTCCCCACCCCCTGCTGGCCTGCAACTCTCAGGGGACCAAAGAGGGCTGCTGGTCCCTCTGCTCTGCTCCGTTTGAGCTCCTCCAGGCCTGGGGTGTCTGAGAGCAGAACTATGGGGCCAGCAGAGAAGCAGGCCAGAGCAGGTCACCACCATGGCCACCTGGGGCTAAATCCATTGGGGACCCTATGAGGAACAGTGCTCAAATTTCCCTTGGCTGTTGTCCCCCAGTGGCTCTCAGATGGCCCATGGTCAGTATCAGGGCTGGGGCAGATGCCCTCCCAGATGCAGCATCAACCTCATAGCTGGGACATTGATTGGCTGAGCCACAGAGGTGCTGTGTGGGCAATGGGACCGCCAGACTCAGCGTTTTCGCCCATGTGGGTCTTTCTGCTCTTGGCCAAAGGGTCACTCAGGGTCTCCAGGACAGGCGCCTGGACAGCACAAGGACAGCAGTGGCAAAGCCTGGAGCTCCATCCAGGCTAGCTCAGTGACAATGGCCAGGCACTGGAGAAGGCTACACTGAGGGGCTCACAGTTCAGCGGTCAGATGCCCAACATATGGGGTTCAGAGGCCAAAATCGGGTGTCAACTGTTCGCTTCTGGGAGTTCCAGGGAGAACCAGCTCCTGCTTTTCCAGCTTCTAGGGGCCCTGGGGCCCTCGGCCCACTGCCCCTTCCTCCCTCTTCAAAGACTCCACTGAGAACTGCCCCCTCTTGTCTCCCCCTCGCTTCTTCTGTCCAACCCCCTCCCTCCCACCTCCCTCTGATGACTGATGACTCAAGCAAACTGGGATCATCTTCCCATCTCAAGATCCTTCACTTGATCTATCTGCTCAACCTCTGTTAGCTCAGTTCCTAGTTTGGGAGGCCCCTGCAGGCACTGTGCCTGCTGTGTGCACTCCTTACTTTCACAGCATGCTGTAGTCCCTCCCTAGAGCTCACTGTGGTTTATTCTCTCCCTGGAGCTCACAGTCTGCTGTAGGCCCTCCCTATACCTCACAGAGCCTGCTGGATGCACTTCCTATAGCTCACAGAGCCTGCTGGATGCCCTCCCTGTAGAGCACAGTGATTTGGGCACATCTGAGAGGAGGCCTGTCCACTCAGCCCAGTCCCTTGCTGCAGCTGGCTCACTTATGACCCCCATCCCCAGGGTTCATGCCCAGGAGAGGGCATAGCAGGTGCTCTGATGTGTTGAGCCTCCTCCATCCCCCACCCCCTTCCTGCCTTCCTCTCTGAATGCCCTCTACTCAGCCTCCCAGTCACCGACTCCCCCATCCCTGGCACCACACCATCCTCCACCCTCACTTTATCCACTCCACAGGCTTGAAGCCCCACTTCCCACACCCACCAGAAAGACTTCTCCTCCCCCACCCCCTGGCTGGGACGCTGCAGGCCCACCTCAGGCTATCTATACTCATCTCCACTCACAGCACTTGGACCCCGTCCTCCAGTCCTCCACTGGCAAAGCACCATGGGCAGAGGCCACCAGCCCACCCCCTGCAGGCATACCTGCCTGGACTCCACAACAAGTGCTCTACCCTCACTCTCAGCTCCATGTCCCTGTATCCCCCGGGGCCTCTCATCCCTGGCGACTCAGAACTGACCACCAGGTGCCCCTCCCACTCTCTGCCAGCCTGACCTCTGTAAATGGCGCCTCTCTTCCATCAGGACCACCATGAGCACATCCTCCTCACCTCTGCTGCCTCTACTCCCAGAAAGTAGCTCCTTGCCCCACCCATAGCCCCAGGATGCCCTCCCTCCTCCCTCCTTTTCTGTCCCCAAAGCAGCCCCAGATGACATTTCCTCCCCGCTCCCATCATCCCTGGCCACTCTCTGACCTCAGCCCCACTGCCCCAGCCCGTGGTGCAGCCACCTAGAGCCTCGACTCAGCCTCAGTGCTCTAGCCCCAGAGCCGTTCCGCTGCTCTCCTTTTGCTCCCTGACCACCTGACAACCTCCCCTTCTCGATGGCCACCTCACCACCACGGTCCACAGTGTGTGTGTGTGTGTGTGGGGGGGGGGCAGGCAATTCCTCTGACCAAAGGTGGGATTGTAAACCCTCGGGCCCTGCCCCCACACTGACCTGATTGGCTGGTTTTCATAGCTGTGCCTTGTCCCTAGGAATGAAAAAGAGAGCCATCTAGTCATCCAGGGCCTGTCAACTCTACAGGGTTTCCGAGACTGGAAGTCTTCATGGGGCAGACAGCCTCATCTTTCTCCCAAGAAATAACTGGTGCACCTGAACCACTAACCCTGCCATTAGCAACCCAGCGCTTATCCGACAGCACTGCTGCTAAGTGTGAGTGAATGAATGGATGGGTGAATGAGTGAGTGAGTGAGCGAGTGTAGTGGTGTGATGGATGAGTGAGTGAGTGATTCATTCGGTAGGCATTGGCTAGTCCTGAATCAGGACCTCCAAACCAGAGGGCCTGCCCCTGCCCATGAAGTCAGAATGAGGCAGAGGGAGTGGGCTTCCTGGAGGAGGGAGCACCCACGTTGAACGGTGGAAACCAGGGATTAGGGTTAGCACCAGGAGGCGGCAGCACGCCCAGGCCGCCCACCCGTCCAAGAGCCGGCACCCAGCAGTCCCGCCGCCAGGGTGCGCCGTGGGGCAGCAGCGAGGGGCTAGGCGGGCCCACAGGCGCCCCTGTGCTGGCTGCGGTGGGTGCAGCCCCGCAGGGACAGGGTGGGTGGTGAGGAGCCCCAGGGTCCCGCTGTGGTCGCGCGTCGTGCAGAGAGCTGAGCCAGTTTAGCTCGCGTGGGGCCCCCACGGGGGCGGGGTGAGGAGCCCTTCTGGACGCAGTCTGGCTCTGAAGCCCGCGCGTGCAGCCCAGAGCGCTGGCTGAGAGAGAGGAGGAACCGGCAGGCGGGCGGGTTCTAGGGTGACAGCAGCGCCCGGGAATGCACCGATGGGGGGGAAGGGTCCCCGCCCCCGCCCCCCGCCCGCGGGCATTGTTTCTCTCCGAGAGCTGGGGCCCTCGGCGGGGTTGACCGAAACCAGGGATGGGTACCCAAGGCATCGGGAGCCAGATGTTCAGGAGTCCTGCCACGGAGGAGGGCGGTCCTGGGGCAGGGTAGGCGAGGAGACGCAGGGGACCACCACCGGGGAGCGCTCGGAGCAGCGCCGGGACTCCTGAAACCCGGCAGAGCGGCCTCTAGGCGCGCACATTCCTTGGCCCTGAGCGCGGCGCCCAGAATAGCAGCCCCTGTGCACCGCCCCCCTGCTTTCCCAAGGGCACCGGGACCCTGAAGGCTGGACAGCAGGCCGCGGGGCTGGGTGTCCGTGGGGCCCGCAGCTCCTATCGCAGATCCACGCTGAAGCGTCAGCGCTGGCCGCGGGAGGGCGCCCGGAGCCGCCGCCCCTCTGGACCGAGCCTGGTTGCGCCCCAGGAGGCCCGGTGGGAGGGACCGCGCCAGCTGCCACCACCACCACCCCCGCCCCTCACCTCCAGCCCGCCCGCTTCCGCCAGCCCTGGGGCTGCCCTGGAGCCCGACCGCAGTCTCTACTTGTAAGTCCCCCTTCCTGTCCCTCCACTTCCCACCTGGTGTCCCGGCCGTGTGGTTGGCTCCCCACCCCGGACCGGCTTGGGCAGGCGGTTGGGGGCAAGCACGGGACAGGGGATGTAAATCCTCACCAGTGGTCGGGCCACTGGGGGAGGGCTCTTCTTCCTGGGGAAACTGAGGCCTAGAGGCATGGCTTGTGCTACGATCACAATGCAAACGGGAGGTAGAAGTGGGGAGGGGTTCTGGGAAGTGGGGAGGGGCATATTTCTTCTGCCCCCATTTTTCATCCACCTGGACCCTCACCCCTGGAAGTCCCCGGTGGTGGAGGGTGGGGACTTGTCAAAGGTCAGGTCTGCTGTCCCTGGGCTTGCTGGTGGTTGTGCTGCTCCTGCTTCCTGGGCGTCTGAGCTCCAGTGGGGCGGGAGCAGGTCAGAAACCCAGCCTGGTCCTTGGACAGGCCCCAGCCCCCCAGCTTCTCAGCATCTCAGCCCCACAGCCCACTCTGTACTGGAGGTCCTAATGGCAGAGCCAGAGGGACAAAACTGGGGAAACTGAGGCACCTAAGGTTGTGGTGCCCTGGCCTCTACCTCTCAGGTGACCCGACCTCACTGGCTGGAAAGCACAGGGTGTCCTGCCTGCCCTTCCCATCCTGCTGACCACCAGCAACCTGGCCCTGGCCTAAGGAGGACCTCAAGGTGATTGGCTTCCATCTGTCTGTCTCCCTCCAGACCAGGGTCACACTGAATGGACAGGGGGTTGACAAGTGATCTCAGGCTTCTCCTGCCTGCCTCAGTGTCCCCACTCCCTCATGTCCTCTCCCAGCCCCACCAGGGGTCTCTTGCCTTGCAGGCCGACCTAGCGCCTAGGCCTGTGTCCTTGCAGGTGAGGCCATGAGGCTCCAGCTGGATGGGAACCAGGTAGCCTCCTGCCCTCAATCCTGCCTGCAGGGTTGGGGGGCTGGGGCTGGTGGGGCATCTCAGCCAGGACCCTCTGCCTGACCCTGACCCCTCCCCCCCACTGGCTACACCCTCTGCAGAGTCTCATAGAATCATGGATTGAGCCCAGCTGGTCCCCACTGTGCACATGGGGGAACTGAGGCCTGGGGAGGGGCAGCAGCTGGCCCCCAGCCACACAGGAAGGTAGATGATGGTGAAGGGGTGGGAGGGTCCCCCCACACACACACTAGGGGACCTTCATGCGCTGACCTTGAATCATCCCTCCAATCAGCAAACATTTATTAAGCACCTACTGTGTGCATTCTAAAACGATAACCGCCCAGAAGATCAGCTATCCTAGCAAACCCCCTGAGAGCCCCTTGCCACCCACTTTGCTCACCTCGACCCGGGCTTCCCCAAGCCTTCTTGTAAGAGGGGAGCTCTATTATTGCCCACTTCCAGAGGTGAGAGGTGAGGGTCCGGATGGCCCAGCCAGTCCGGGTGGAGGCTCCCGCCCTGTCCCCCCTCAGGCGCTCCCTTCTCTCCGCCCCCCCCCCTAGACTCCGCCCTTCTCGCAACCTCCAGCTGCTGTTGCTGCTCTGGACCCTTCTGAGCAGCAGGCTGGAGAGCAGCGCTCAGGTAAGGTGGCTGCAGCCTGGGTGCATCGCTCAGATGAGGGGCATGACGAATGGGAACCTGCCCAGGAGCATCGGGTCACCAACTGGCTGTGTCCCTGTCTCCCCAAGTAGGGTCCGGGCGAGTGGACGCCCTGGGGCTCCTGGACACGCTGTTCCAGCTCCTGTGGGCGGGGCGTCTCCGTGCGCAGCCGTCAATGCATCCGGTGAGCTAGAGAGAACTGGGATTCCAGCTAGAGGGTGGGGCAGGGGGTGGGAGGGGAGGGCCTCTGTCTCCCTCCTGCCAGCCAGGCCAGACCCTGGCCACACCCTCGGCCTGTCCACACATGTGCCCTTTAATCCCACTGATCCAGCTGGAATTCGGGTGGGGTTGGAGGGGTGGAGGGCAGGCAACCGCCTCCTGAGAAAGGGGTCCCTGGGGTCCTGCCCTCGATCCAGCCACGCTCTCCCTGAAGGTTTCCTGGAGAAGAGTTATGTTGGGGCAACACCCATGAATACCGCCTCTGCCAGCTGCCGGTAAGCTTTGCCTGCCTCCTCTCCTACACCCGCCACCTGCCAGGTTTCTCCGGTTGTGGGCGCGGGGGGCTGGGGGAGGGGGGGGGCGACCCGGAGACCTGTCACCCACCTTTCTCCACCAGGACTGCCCACCAAGGGCCGTACCCTTCCGAGACTTACAGTGTGCCCTCTACAATGGCCGTCCAGTCTTAGGCTCTCAGAAGACCTACCAATGGGTACCTTTCCATGGAGGTGAGTAGCCTGATGGTCCAGAGGGAGCCACTCAGAGTTGGCAGAGAGAGGGTTCTGCCTTGAAGCTAGAAGAGAGGAGTAGGCATGACTGCTAGGGCTTTGAAGCATATGTAGTAGTTGATCAAGTGAAGCAGGCACGCAGCAGGGGCAGAGGGAAAGATAGGGTCCATTTTACAATTGTGCACAGATTCCTTGGGGCTGTATGCAGAGGACAACCTTCCTCAAACTCATCTAGGAAGCAGAAAATGTTGCTGCCTTGGGCTGAAAATAGCAAGTTATATAACAGTGTGCCCCGGGCGGCACGCCTGCAGACCCGGGGGAGCCGGCATGCAGGCAGAGCAGATGAGGAGAAAGTTGCAGCCCTCGGCCTCACCAAGTTTTCCTGCCCTGATAGCTGGAGGGGTTGGCCATGCTCCCAGCCCCAAGGAGGCCTGCTCGGGCCCACATGGGCTCTGTTTTGGCCAGGAGGGGCCAGCCAGGCTCCAGGAGGTGGGAGCCAGAGGCAGCTTAGCGGAGGAGCAGCAGTCAGGCTGTGGGCCTGCGGGTATGATGGGACTCGCATGGATGAGACAACCAGGCAGAAGGGGATAAAGGGCCAGGGAAAGTCACAGCACGCTGAGGTGCAGGGGTGCAGTCAGCACTGAGCAGGCACTGAAATACGGGGCACCTGCTAAGGGATTACCCTGAGCCTAGTATGGTGTCTGGCAAACAGTAGGTGCTGGATGAGTGCCTGTGAAATTAATGAATGAGCGGGTGGATGAATGAGTGAGTGAGTGAGTGAGTGAGTGAGTGAGTGAGTGAGTGAGTGAGTGATGATGTCAGTGAGTGCTCAATGAGTGTCTGTGGAATTTGAGTGAGGGAAGGAGGGAAGGGCCAGTTAGTGATGAAGTCAGTAATGGTGGCCATTACAGTGTCAGGTAAAGACTCCCAAAATTAGGCATGAAAGAATGAGTGACCGTAGGTGGCCTACTGCCAGGGTGAGTCTCTGGAGTTTGAGAGAGAACATGCCCGGTCCACTCCTGGCTCAGCTTCAAGGCCCAGGCATAGTGTTGCTGGCTGCTGGGACCCATCTGCTGGAAGGGGCTGCAATTCTGAGGGCTGCCTGAGGAGGTGCTGGGACTCAGATGTGTCCTCCTCTCTAGCGCCCAACCAGTGCGACCTCAACTGCCTGGCCGAGGGTCACACCTTCTACCACAGCTTTGGCCGCGTCCTGGATGGCACCCCCTGCAGTCCCGGCGTGGAGGGGCTCTGCGTGGCTGGCCGCTGCCTCGTGAGGACTGCCCAGGCCCCTCTCTCCTTCCCACGTCCAACTTTCTCCCTGAGACCGGGTCTCAGTTCTCCTAGGCCTCCAGGTGTCCTGGAGGCCAGCAGTTCAAACATACCAGCTACTCCACAGGAAAAAGAAGAGGCAGTCTACTTCTGCAAAGATGGACAGTCTCAGAAACCCCAGGGACAGTCTACTGTGTGCTGGAGGGTCACTATGAGTCAGAATCAACTTGATGTCAGTGGGTTTTTAATTTCACTGATTCTTTCCCGACTCTACCCTTGACTGCAAGCCCCTGCCCCTTTATCCTAAACCATCCTTCCCCCTCCCTGGGGCATCTGGTCCTGCCCTGGGTCCACCCAAGGCCCCACCTTTCTTCATTTCAGGCCCTAACCTCTAAAACTGCCAGACTCCCTGCCCTCAAGTCCACTGTGACCCATACCAGCACAGCATAGGGCACAGCTGCCCTCGGGTTTCCAAGACTTTACATCTCTGCAGGAGTAGACAGCCTCGTCTTTCTCCTGTGGAGTGACCGGCGGGTTTGAATCGCTGGCCTGGAGGTTAGCTGCTCAATGCACAGCCCACGAGGCCACCTGATTCCAACTAGGGACCCTATAGGACAGGGCAGAATGACTCCACCTGGTTTCACAGGCTGAAGGTGTGAAATAATAAATATGTCACTTTGAGGCCTCAGATGCTCCTGACCAAGCCAGGACACTCCCAACCAGCTCATCTGCATGTGAAAGTTGGACATTGAAAAAGGAAGATCAAAAAAGAATCCATGCTTGGATTGTGAGGCTGGAGAAGACTAGGGAAGAGTACCGCGGACTGCTAAAGAACAGCTCATCTTGGGAGAAGTCTAGCCCAAGGCTCCTTGGAAGGGATGGTGGTGAGACTGGCCCCTGGAGAAGGACATCATGCTAGGTTAAACAAAAGGTCTGTGAAAAGCAGGAAGGTCCTCCAGGAGAGGGGCTGACACCCCAGCTGCGACAAGGGGCTGAAACAGGACCGACCTGGAGAGCTGTTTTGTTCATGTACCCATGGTGTCGCTGTGACTCAAAGGCACACTCTTGACAGGACCAACCTGCTGTTGGACTCCAACCCACCGCACAGCCCCCAGGCCTGGCCTTGCTCCTCCAGAAGACCCAAGGGGCTGTGGTGTCACGGTGGGTTACGCATTAGGCTTCTTCCCTGCAAGGTCAGCAGTTTGAACCCATCAGCTGCTCCTTGGGAGAAAGATGAGGCTGTCTGCCCTAGGAAAGATTTACAGCCTCGGAAACCATGGGGGAGCAATTCTGCTCTGTCCTGTACGGTCCTTGGGAGTTGGAAGCGACTCAGTAGGTTCTAGAACTCTCCTAGGCTCCATGGCTTTGGATTTCTGGCCCCCTTGCAGGCCTGGGTCCTGGCCAAGCCTTCCTACCTCCAGGCCCCGCCCCCAAGCCCAATTCCTGACTTAAGGCCCCGCCCCCGTCCTTGTCTCGCGCCCCACTCCCACCCCCAGCCCCCTTCCTTCCAGACCCCTGGCCTTTCACTTTTCGACCCCACTCCGCCCCCACCTCATTTGTTTTCGCGTCAGGCCCCGCCCTCTCGCGGCCCAGGGCAATCTGACGGCTGTGTCCCTCCCTTCTTTAGAGCGCCGGCTGTGACGGGCTGCTGGGCTCCGACGCCCGCGAGGACCGCTGTGGACACTGCGGCGGCACCAACGACTCTTGCCTCTTTGTGCAGCGCGTGTTCCGCGACCCTGGTGATTGCCCACCTCGCTTTCAGCGCGTGCCCCCAGCGAGCCCTTTCACCACCCCAGGCCGAAAACGAAGTACTGCGCTGATTGGGCACTGTGGGGCTCACTCACCCCGTTCACCATCCTGATTGGGCATCGCCAGATTATCTCGCCCATCCCAGAACGGGCCCGGTTTTAACCCCGTCCCCGCCGCCCATGCGCCTCAATTATAACTCCAAGTGTATCCCGAGCATTTTCTGGATACCAAGATCCTGGCCGGCCAACTTGCCTGCAAAATCCTATTTAGTCCTCCAGTCGCCACTGCCCGGAGCCCTGGACTGTGTGGGTGTTGAGTCGCTGACCAGCAAGGTGGGGCGTTCACACGCCATGAGGCAGAATTGGCTCGGTGGCGGGGAGTTTGGCTGGTGCAGGGAGTTTGTTGTTAGGGGCCATCCAGTGGGTTCCGACCCACAGTGACAGCCAAGCGAAACACCGCCGGGTCCTGCGCCAGCCTCACACTGGTGGCCATGCCCGAGCCCCTTGGCACAACCCCGGTGCCCGTCCATCCCCCGAGGGCCTTCCACTCCTTAGCTGCCCCTCCCTAGGGAGCGGTGCCCTTGGGGTCGCCATGGCTCAGACTTGGGGTAACCCCCGCCCTCTGTCCCAGGTGCTTTCACCGGGTACTGGAACGTGACTCTGATCCCCGAGGGCGCCAGGCACCTCCAGGTCATCCACCGGAGCCGCAACCACCTGGGTATCGCAGGGTCTGAGGGGCGGCCGCCAGGGGCAGCCGGGGTGAGGGGTCCCCGGGAGGGTGGCTCAGACCCAGGCGCCTCTGCCCCTTCTTGCAGCGCTGGTGGCGGGCGACGGGCGCTACGTGCTCAACGGGAACTGGGCGGTCAACAGCCCAGGGACCTATGAGGCGGCGGGCACCCGCGTGGTCTACACCAGAGACGCCGCGGGGATGCAGGAGACGCTGCGAGCCACTGGGCCCACTTCCCACGACCTGCTCCTGCAGGTGTGGGGCAGGTTCTCCCGAGGGGAGGCTGGAGAGGGAGGGTCTGAGGTGTGAGCCTGAAGGGGGCAGGATCTAAGGGGGGAGGCTGGGAAAGGATGGGTCTAGGGGGAGAGGCTTGAGTTCAAGTGCCCAGCCTCTCCCCCCACCACCTCCCTCCAGGTCCTCCTGCAGGTGCCCAACCCTGGCATCGAGTTTGAGTTCTGGCTCCCTCGTGAGAGATACGCCCCCTTCCAGGAGAAGGCGCAGGCCCTGGGGTGGTCCCTCCAGCAGCCACAGGCTCTGGAAGTGGAGTCTCAGTCCCCTGAGCCTCCCGCAGATCCTGCCACCCCCCCACTGACCGTGACCCCCACCCCAGGTGAGGTGAGATGGAGTTGCCTGGGTGGGAGAAAGCAGAGACGTGTGGCCTGTGCGTCTCACAGCCTCGTCCCCACAGACCCCTGCAAGCCCTGCCCGGACACTCGTGGCCGTGCCCACCGACTGCTCCACTACTGTGGCAGCGACTTTGGTGAGACCCCAGCCCTCACCTGACCCAGAGTGACCCCAGCCCTCACCTGACTGCAAGTCAGCCTGACCCTCATCTGACCCCAACACCCACCTTACCCAGAGTGACCCTGACCCAAAATGACCCTAACCACAAGTTGCCCTGACCCCCAAGTAACCCCAACTTGCACCTGACCCCATGATGCAAGCCTTTACCTTACCCCAGGTGACCCTGATCCTCATTTGACCCCAAGTAACTCCAGCCCTCCTGACCCCATCACTGACCCCAAGTGACCCAGATCCTCATCTAATTCCCAGTGACTCAATCTTGCCCCAGTTACTCATCTAACCCTTGACCTGACTCCAACTTGACTCTTAGAACTTAACCTATAACCTTCATTGATCTGAGCAGGCCTGATACAGCCCACTCCCCCTGGTCCCCTGAAGCCCCTCTCTCCTCTGTGCCGTGGAGTCCATGTGGATGTGGGGTCCCAGCAGCCCCTCCCTCTTCTGTTTAATGGGGCCTGCATGTGGGGTGGGGGTAGGTCCCCAGTATCCCCTCCCTCCCCTGTGCAGTGGGGTCCCCAACAGCCTCAGTGCCCGCCTACGCAGTTTTCAGGGCCCGTGTGCTTGGCCGCCGCCGGCAGGCCCAGGAGACCAGCTATGAGGTGCGCCTTCTGCTCATCTACAAGAACCGCTCGCCGCTCCGCACCCTTGAGTATGTGTGGGCGCCAGGCCGCTGCCCCTGCCCACCACTGGCCCCCCATCGCGAGTACCTGGTGGCTGCCCTGCGCCTAGTCAGCCCTGATGGCACACAGGACCGCCTGCTGCTGCCCCACTCTGGCTATGCCCGGCCCTGGAGCCCCGCAGAGGACAGCCGCGTGCGCCTTGCCGCCCGGCACTGCCCTGTGTGAGTCTGTCTGGCCCATGCCTCAGAAGTCCAGCAGCAAGCAGCGTGCTCAGTCTGGGACTGCAAAGTGCCCGCTCCCACCGGGCAGGCCTCCGGGGAGCTCAGATACACCCACGCGGCTCTGCACACCCCTCATGACAGCCCAGCCCACAGCCAGTCTACACACCACACAGTTGCTCTAACTCTAACCCCATTCTCCTTTCACCCTGGCTGCCAGGAAGCCCCAGCTGTTAGATGCCCAGCTGTTAGATGCCCAGCTTCCCTCCAGCCCAGGCTAGATCGGCCCTGCTTTCCTTCGGGACACTCACTGCCCCCTCGCTCAGAGGCACGCCCTGACAGCAGGGCCCTTAGAAGGCATGCCTGGCCAAGGCACTGTAAGTGACTCATCTGCCCATGGGCCCAGGCAATCAGGAAGCTGTCCACTGCCCTCCCAGATTCTGGCTGCCTTGATTCTGTTTCTACTGGTAGTTTGTAATGAGGCCCCAGCACCCCCCACACACACAGACTTCACACGCTCCACCCAGCTCTGGGCCCAGTCCCCACCTCCTCCCTGTGTGCTGGTCCACCCCGGCATGGGCCAGGTAGGGAGTAACTGAGGATGGGGGCAGTAGAGAAAACAGGGGGGCACATTCATCTCAGGACCAGCTGGGGCTGCTGAGAGGCCCTGTTGTCTGCCCAGACCCAGGCCCACCACCCTGGTGTCTGCAGGGGCCATAAGCCACTCAGCACCCCTTCCTGTGGGGTCACTGCCGTCTGCCTCTCGCCAGATTGAGTGACTCTCGCCGTCTGTAGGGACAATGTAATTTTCCACTCTGTTTGTGGTTGTCTTTTTCAGGGACTGGGTGCCTGGGCCAGGAGGGGAAGGATCGAGTGAAGGGCGGTGGTGCTGGGGGGACACCAGGCAGAGGGAGGCCCCTCCTGTGGGTGTCAGCAGGATGTTGGGATGGGCCTTGATGGGCCAGCCTGGACCTTGCAGGCAGGCCCTGCCCCTCTCCAGGTCCCCACTGTGAGCGAGGTCCCTTTATTCTTGCAAAGGCATCCTCCCTGAGCTCAGCAGGGCCTCAGGCTGTCCAGGCCTGGCCCTGACTTCGGCGGTCAGCAGTGGCCACTGCCCGGGAAGAGTCTCATGAAGTTCCAGCCGACTCCATGGGGCCCACGCGCCCCCTGGTGGATCCTCCATGGCAGTGCACACAGTCCACCTCCCCAACCAGTAGTCTTCATGGCACCCACACTGCCACCCACCCCATCAGCCCTCCACTGACACCCGTGGTCACCTCTGTGTCCTTGCCATCTGGGGGTTACATCAGGGAGTGGGAGCCTGGTCACTTGGTTCCACTCCCAGATGCTTCAGCACCTCCCTTTGCCCTCTCGACAAGTGGGGGGGGGAGCAAGAAAGAGGCTAAGGAGACTCTTGGAGAATGGGCAGTGGGTGGGCACTGCTGGCTCGAGGGCAACCCGTAGGCCCTGGTCTCACATTGCCAGAAGGTCAGCGAGCAAAGACAAAGAAGGGAAGAGCTGCTGGCAGACCCCATGTGAGAGGTGTCCCTGGGCCTATCCTCCCTGAAGCAGTGCTTTCCCTGGGGTCCTGACTTCCGTGGTGTGATTCCTTGACACACACCCCTCCTGGAAAGGTAATCCACGTTCACTGGCAGCCTTGGGGCCAGTGGGAGTTAACACCAGTTTCTTCCTGGTTCTTTAATTTAAAAACAAACACTGAACAATGAAGAATCCATTTCCACTTTTAAGATCCTCAGATTCATCTGAAAAAGACCAGGCTTACTGGCTGGCTAGAGAGGAACCCTGACCAGGTGTGGCCCCGAGTGGCCTTCAGGCCTGGGACAGACTCACACACACACCCCCACACACCCCTCCATTTAGAGCCAACAATGGCGAGGGGTGCCGAGTGCACAATGCTGGGGGGGCAGGCACCCCTACAGCAATCGTAGCTGACACAAGGATAGTGTTTGTCTAGGGTAGCAGGGCAGGAGACAGGATTTTCACATTGGGGATCGAAATCGATGGCATGAAGCAAAATGTGTCTCCATTGTTGAATAGAAAACTGATTTACTCTGTAAACCTTCCCAATTCACCAGAGTTTTTTTGCTTGTAAGTTTCTCAGATATAGCAGAATATTTGATGCGAGAATTAGCATTGATCCTCAGCTACTTGGTAGATAGATAGGTAGGTCGACCGACCAACCAACATGGATAGATAGATTGATAGATGATGGATACATAGGTCGTTAGATAATTATCTGCTGCCAGATCAACTCCAGCTGCTGGTGGCTGCAAGCACAGCCAAACAGAATATTGCCTGTGACTTCTCACCATCGCCAGCATGTCAAGGCTGTAGTGCCAACACCTCCCCTAGGGCCTCCCTCCCTCAGTATCCCTGTCTCTCTTCTATACCCATTACAATGTCCTCCTCCTGTAATTCATCTGCCTAATGATTTGTCCAAAACAACCGAGTTGCACAGCGTTCTCCTGTGGTCCATGGGTTCTCATTCACACACAATGTTCTCCTGTAGTCCGTGGGGTCTCATTCACACACAATGTTCTCCTGCGATCCATAAGGTTCATTGACTGATTTCCAGCCCTGTTTTCCTAGTAATCTTACCCTGGAAGCACCACTGAAAATGCATGTCTCATTGCGAGCAGCCTACACGCTCCACGGACAGATGGGTGCCCCAGCCGGCAGTGCACGGACTGGGCATTGAGCTCATGGCACACACGAAGGGCAAGGGTTCTACACTGAACCACCACTGTCTCCTATCCACCTGGTAGTGTCTGTATCAAAGCAGAGGAGAGACCCAGAGACGGAGAGGAGATGACAATAAAGGTGCATCTACAAGCCGAGGATCTGCTGGGGCCTCAAGATGCTGGTAAAGAGGAGAAAGGACCCCCACTCTGGAGTGTCCAGAGGGAGCATGGCCCACTTATGCCCTGGACTCAGACCTCTGTCTCCAGAACGGAGAGAGACGACATCCTGTCATTATAAGCTGCCGGAGTGGTGACAGTAGTTTCACAGCAGCTCCAGGACACGATGACTCTCATCCTACATCCCTCAGCCCTAAGACAAGAGCTCCGTCCACCAAAGGCAAGTTCCAAAATGTTCCTCTCAATTTTCATCCCAGGATCAAAACTACAAACAACCTAAATGCCCCTCAGCAGTGTTTCTGTCACCAGTCACTGGGGAGTGGATTTGGAGCAGTGACACCGCACGCGCATTGTCAAACCATGGTCTGAGGGTACCGAAGGCCGTGGCTTTTCAGAAGCAGATAACCAGGCCTGACTTCCAGGGCCTCTCTGTTGTTGGTAGGTGCTATCATCAAGTCCATTCCAACCCTGAGGGACTGTGGTAGTTACATAATCTGGTGCCAACTTGAGACTATTAAGAGGGAATGGGGTGGAGTTTAGCCTGTCAGTCAGGTTGCTGCTTGATGACCTCATTTGGAGGGGTTATGGAGATAGCTTGATGGAGATGGGACGCACAAAATCTCTCTGCTTCATCTCCCTGTGAGACATTCCCGTTGACAAGCCACATGGAGTTATGCTGATGGCAGCCAGAGCCTTGGAGCTGGAGGAGCCACGTGGAGACCCCTGCCAGTGCTAAGATTCTTCCACCTGACCCACAAGACTTTCCACCCATTGGCCTGTGATCTTCCTGCACTCAGCATCATTGCATGTGTGGCGTGAGTCTGAAGAAGAATTTATGGACTCGTATTGGACCTATGGGCTAATAACAGACTTATGGACTTGATCTGGACTGGGCTGGGATGTTTTCTCAATGTTCAACTGCTCTTGTATATAAAGTTATTTCTTATACACATTTGAGTGTCTATGAATTTTTTTCTCTAGTCTACCTGTGTGGGAAACAGATTTCTCCCATGCCGTCTCCCCCAAATATATGTTAGACTTAGAACACTGCTTGCACTAATGGTAAATGATTGTCAAGTTACCTCCCTGCAGGCAGTCAGTTGCCAGACTACTGTCTGGGCCCACCAGGTAGGGCCCACTCCCTGCTGTTAAGGACAATAGGCTACTTCCCCCTAAATGCCTGTGACCATTAGTCTGGTCCCTGTAGGTGGGGTTTACACTAAGGTGACCAGACGTCCCGCTTTTGGCGGGACAGTCCCAATTTTTAACAATATTTCCTGCGTCCTGCGGTGTTTTAAAAAACTCCCGATTTTTGGAAAGAATGCACGACAAGCTAGGGTATACGGTTTTCGGCTGCCATGTGGCTATTTCACCAGGATATGAGTTTTATCAATGGTGTCCTACTTTACCAATGTTAAAATCTGGTCACCTTAGTTTACACCCTACTGATAATGGTTTCCATGGAGATCCAGAGAACAGGTCAGACCTGCTCAGTGACATCCAAAGTTAGGCTGCCATCCTGAATCCAGGATCCGCCCTTCTTGTCACATATGTACCCCCAATCCCTCCTCATCCTATTGCATGTATATCCCTAGATTGCCCTCCCCCCTCATTGCTGTATTGCCTATAGTACAACCCCTTCCTGTGACGTATGTCTCTACCTGTAATTAGGGGGCTTGCATGCCCCCCAAAAGTATATAGGTCTGGGTTAGCAATAAAGACCCTTCTTGGCCTCTCATCTGTTCCCCCTCTCCTCTCCCGTCCTTGCTGCCCTATTCCCCTTCCCCTCGTCCTCCTTCCCCTCCCTCTCTCTCCACGTGGACCTGAGGGGAGCATGCTACCATGAAATGTGTCTGACTCCATTCTTTCAATCTCCCTTCTATCTCTCATGCTCTCTATGACTTTACTATTATCTTTACTTATCATCACTGTAAAATTGCACCTACCGGACCCGTGATGTTGTGTTAGGGGCGGGTACCCTGACACACCTGGACTAACACACTGTGTCAATCCATCTCATCAAGGGTCTTCCTCCTTTCTCATTGTCCCTCTACCAAGCATGATGTCCTGCTCCAGGGACTGGCTCTCCTGACAACAAGACCAAAATACGTGGGTCTAAGTATAGTCATCTTCTCCTCTCAGGCGCATTCTGTGTGTACTTCTTGCAAGACAGATCTGTTTGTACTTTTGGAAGTCTATGGAACTTTCAATATTTGTCACTAGAACCAGAGTTCAAACGCGTTGATTCTTCAAAGTAACATCAGTGCTTTTCAACACTCTAAGGAGGTCTTGTGAAGCAGATCAACCTACTGCAATGTGTCATTTGCTCTCTTGACTGCTGTTTCCATGAGCACTGGTTGTAGATCCAAGCAAGATGAAATCCATGACCATATCTACCTTTTTTTTCTCTCCGTGTAGCCTAATGTTACCTACTGGTCCAGGTGTGAGAATTTTGGTTTTCTTTACACTGAGTTGTAATCCATGCTGAAGACTGCAATCCTTGATCTGCATCAGCAAGTGCTCTGATTCATCCTCACTTTCAACCAGTAAGTTTGTGCCATCTGTATACTAAAGTATGTTAATAAGCCTCCCTCCAATCCTGATGTCAAATTCTTCTTCATCTAATTAAGCTTCTCTGATTATTTACTTAGCTTCAATAGGTATGGTGAGAGAATGCAGCCATGACACACAAATGTCCATGCAGCAAGCCTGTTCCCACAACTACCTCTTGATTCATGTACAGGTTCCATGTGAGCACACTCAGATTCTCCTCAAGGCTGCCATCGATAGGTTGTTGTGATCCACACAGTCATTAAACACAAGTAAACATCTTTCTGGTAGTCTCTGTCCAGATCCATCTGACATCAGCAATGATATCCCTTCTTCCACGCCCGCTTCTGAATCCGCCCTGAGCCCCTCTGGCAGCTCCCTGTCCATGG